TCCTCTGGCATAGGCGCCAGAGTAAAGGCGTTGGAAATGTCCGTAGCTGCTGCTCTCCATCGCTTTAATACTGTGAAAGCCACCGATATTCTCAGTCCATCCGCCGAGGTTCCCGAAGCGTAGACGTTAGCCTTGTCACTAGGAAGGTAGTTGCCGCAGACCACTATCCGGCATTTGCGCCGGAACTTCTCCTGGCCCTCCGCTGGCTGCTCGCTGGGAGGTTTAGCTGTGAACACAGCCTTACCCGGTAGAACAACCATGCCCTGCGCCTTGAGCTCCCTGGCTTGTTCTGGGGATAGTCGCCTCACCGTTCCACTGCGCACCAGGGCGTCGACTTCTTTCAAGATCGCAGCCTTCCACTTAAGTAGGTTGCGCCGGGCCTCATGTAGGCCCACGTTGTGTACCACCTCCAGTGGCCCAGCCAGACCTTCCAGGATTGGCTCCACTTCATAATCCACCGCCGCTCCAGGAGATACTTTAGCAACTTGCCGTAGATCTCGCCGATGTCGTTCCCGAAGTAGTGCTTCTCCCCATTCAAGATATTCTTCTAGTAGTCCTTTGTACGCACCCTCCACCTCGACATCCTCCTGTTCCATTGAGCAACGTAGAACCCTCATCTGATGTTCCAATGTCGCCACTTCAACCTCCGACTCATCAATAGAACTTTCCTCCTCAGACACGCTATCATCATCCACTGTCAAGCGCTCCACACCTGTACCTTCGAGAGGAAACCCACACTTTGATAAATAGGCTGATGCCGTAGACGGTAGTGTAGGTGCTCCCAACGGCGTAAACGCAGCCACAATCCAACGTTCCGGAAGCTCGTCTAGGTAGGCATGAAACTCCTTCGGGTTGAATGCCACGGCTTTTCCCCCGATGCACACCAAGTTACCTTCTAGTACCCTTCCATCTGGTTGTTCTTTTGCAAGTGGCTGCCAATCTTCTCCTCCACGCACTGATGTAGAACCCGATCCATTTGCCACCCACAACCCGGCCCGGGACTTTCCTCCGATTTCCATCACATAGTTCCACGATCCCACTTGGTTCCGTAGATCACGATGAGGAGGTATATCCGCGGCCTTGAACACCCCTATGGTAGTCCAACTTCCATCCTCCCCCAAGTCTTCCGCAACGCGTAGCCGCAACACCATGTTGAGATACTTGGTCAGATGTGGTCTTCGCCTTCCAGATTTGGTCACACCTCTCATTCCACCATGCACGTAGGCCCCAAGAATCATGGAAGTAGTTTGTACTCCTCTCGACTTGTTCTTCATGGTTCCAACCAAATCCATCTCCCCCAAAACCTCCGCACACGATTTGAGGTCAAACTTCCCCATGTCATAGAATATCTTTGCCTTTTGTTCTTGTCTTTGAACCATGGATCTCATCGTCCATCCACTCGCGGCCTTCTTTGGTGCAACCCCACCATCCAACATAGGGTCTGCTTGCATCTTGACTAATGCTGGAGGGGCTCCTTTTCCTTTGAGTCGATGATCTGGTTCAGGTAGATCGATGATAGGAACATCTCTCCCTGGTAGGTCCTTGTCTCCTTCGTCTTGTTCCGCTTCTAGAAGAGCCTTGGGATCAACCACACCGGTTCTCAGATTCAGCGTTTCAGTGAGTGCGCCCGTAGATCTCAGAACCACCGCACCACCCTTGATCGTGTCCGACATTCCCAGATACTTTCCCTCTTCCCAGCGGTCCGTCAGGTCATACTTCTTGTTGTTGCCAAAGATTTTTCGCCTTATCATCACCTTGCATCCAAATGGTAGTAGATGAGGTTTGGTGACTCCCAAGCGATCATAGATGCGTCTGTTTGCCGCATGTTGCATAGCCAAAGTCCAAAACTTCACATTCACCTGGGCCTCGGCAAGTAGAACTTTAGCTCGGGTCTTAAACCACCTCACCCCCCTTTCTGCTGCACCATTGGTTTGTGGTACCAATGCTTCGCTCCTGGTGTGGTAGATATCGTGATCAAGTAGCCATCGTCGTAATCCTCGAGAAGCATACTCGGAGCCACGGTCTGTATGCAGTCTTGCCACAGGAAAACCCATCAGCTTCAATCTCAGCACCGCTTCTTGTATTGCTAACATAGCATCGCCGCCACGCTTAGCTCTGATGGGGTACACCATGTAAATCGTCTCCATCTCCACCGGCTGTACCAAGTCACCGACCAACTTCTCCCATTGATCTTCATCTTGTTGTAGAACTGTTTCTTCTTCTGGTATTTCAGCAGGAGATATACGGAACCTCGTTGTACCCGTCCAGTCCTTGTCCAAGGGTCTTGAGCCAGACTTCGGGCCGTGCCAGTCCGAAATCTCGGTCTCCACTCCTCCACCAACGTACTTCACCTCCGTGACCCGAGTATCATCTAACTTAGCTGTATGTAGTGGACAACCGTTGGTTGATGTAGGACGGAATAACACCTTGCGTGGTAGTTCATGATGTCTAATCAATACTCCTGTCGACTCCCTGAACTCCCACCAATCTTCTTTGTCCGTACCATCTACACGAGCGGGTCGCATCTCCACGGCTTCGGTGGTTTCCTCCTCCTCAAACTCATTCTCAGGACTACTCGGCGCGTACTCATCAAGGTCCACATCGGCCAAAGGGTCCTCTGGCTCATCCTCAACACCCTCCGGCTTGTCCTTGTCGTGGGTTGCCTTGAGGTCCAAGTCCCAGCCTGATAGTTCATCCTCCTTTATCGGCGCGTCCTCCGGACTAAGCTTCTGCTTGGGGTACTGAAACGTGAAAACGATGGCATATTTCTCCCCTTTCGGTCCAGGCACTCGAACTGGTCCCAGTGTATCTGCACTCATCACGTAGCAATCTTTATGCAAACATCTCCGATGAGGCCTTCCTGTAGCATTGTGTATGCACTGTAGGCAATCGGGCCTATGTGGAACATGATCATTGGCTAAGTGTCTCTCCCAAGCCTTCCTGTCCACCGCCCTCAACGCCCTGACCACCCGAGGATACCATCCAGGTCTCAACTTCCATCGTTTCCAGCCTCTGGTCAACACATGCATCATCATCGGTGCCCAAACTGACCAGGAGCCCTTTGTGCTCTCTTGTTCACGTTCATCCCGAACTCCTCGAAGCTCTGTAACATCCATGTTGGTCACCATATATGTAGGCCTTCGTAGTGGATGTCCAAGGCCCCCTTGCTCGAAGTAGAGGTTCTGTAGGCTGCCTTCCACCACCCAATGCTTCATCCACCCCCTTTGTAAAGCACAAGCACTGGAGTCCTCTTCCGCCTCCGAAGAACCCCATATAGCGATGGCGACATCATCGTTGGGAACATCGGTCATCTCGCACATCAGCCGTCTCCCTTCACGTGCTGTCTCTGCCACAGCCATCATTCGAACCAGATGTTCATCAGCTCGCTCTTTAGGAATGGCCGACATGATGCCCGCGATGCGTCCCGTAGCTGCTCCCCACATCATTAACATGAAGATGCCCTTGCCCTGCTTCAGCACGTCCATCTGTGAGTTTCTCAGGAGGTCCACATCCAGCACCACAGTGTTGTTGGTCGTCAAGGGCCTGAATATCTTATCTGACTCCAACTTGCGCCCGCTATAGAACTTCACAATCCAATCTCGATGCATCAAACGCTTCCTGAAGCGCCGGTTGAAGCCCAGGTCCTTCATCATCTCCCAAGCATCCTCCTCTGAGCCCGGCAAGTCCGTAACAACCTTCACCAAGTCCTCCCTCGGAACATTGCGAAGCCATGGCATAGAAACCAATGCCCGAAACCCATCCTCAAACTTGCCCTTGAGGACGTAGTCCTTCATACTGGATTGCCACTGTTCACAGCTCTGCACCTTGCAAGCCCTCATCAAAGCACTCTGGGTGATCTTGGCCTTCTCGGTAAGCTGCTGAAGTTTTTCTTCTTCTATTTTGGCAATCAGTTCAAGGGCTGTGGCTTCATCAATTTCTGGACATCCAGTTGTCACACGTAGAGGTATCTCTCGCCCTTCCGGACCACGTAGAACACACTTTTTCTTTGTCCAGAGGAGTTCGTATCCCAAGATAGAAACCAATCCTCCCACCGGCAATATAGTTTGAGACTTGCCCGCCATTGGATCTGTGAGCAGCGTTCCTGTATCCGTTTGTCTCATCCTGGCCACACCGTCACCTGCTATCAGAACGTCCACCTCAGAAGAGCCTCGCCACTCTGGTGCCGTAGCCTGCCGAAGGGGATGAGTAGCTCCTGAATCCACCAAAGCCATACGGGACTCCATAGCCGTCACCGCTTTCTTCAACATCTTCATGGACGGCATAGTAACGCTGCTTTGCTCCGCCATCAACTTAAGTATCTGAGTGGCGCTCCGTAGAAGCTCCTCATTGCTTGCCGTTGAAGTAGCCGGTGTGGTTGCCTCGGTTGAGGGGTTCGTTGTAGTAGATGAAGACTGCGGAGGAGCTGGAGGTACCGTAACATTGGAATCTGTTGTGTCCCTTGTAAACGTAGTACTCTCTTCTCTCCTCTCCTGTGCCACTGTTTTGACCCTGGGCTGTCCAGGACCACGCACTTCCTCACCCTTGCGACCGCCGTCGGTTGCCTGCTTCATAGGGCAAAACTTCTTGAGGTGTCCCTTGCCTCCACAGTTCTTGCACTTGTCGTGGCGGTCCTCCTTTGGCACATGTTGCCAGTCGTGCGAAAACCTGCACGAGTTCCGTTGGCATCCTGTGTCGGACAAGAAGAACTTGCATGGCTTTGGATTCCCGCTAGTAGTAGGTGTCGTTCCCCCCTTTGGTGTAGTAGTCGCGGCTGCTTCCCCATTGGCACTCACATTCTTCACGGTAGGTAATGTAGGTCCTGTAGATTTCGATCTCCCACGAAACGACAACTGCTCAAACTCCGCCAGAAGGTGGCCATGATAACGCAAAACATTCTGTATGCTGGGCGCAGCATCAAGGTCAAGGCTGTACCGCAACATGTTACTCCTGAAGATAATCTCTCCATTCTTCTCCATCTGTTGTTTGCATGCGGTGTCCAGCCCCTTCAACAGAATGCTTGCGTCCGGAACTTGCAACCCCAAATCCTGCGCCCGCTTCAGCCACCTCATCCAGCGTCGAAGTACCTCGACCAAGTCGGCCGGGGTGTTTGCTCCTCCAGGATTCTCCAGGGCACGAAGAACCTGTTGTCTTTCAGCAGCCGACCCTGAACGGTATATTGTAAGAATACGTCCCAAAATGGATATCGTGGAGCTCAGTCTGTTTGCCATCAGTTCACTCTTCAGGTTCTCTGGGACCGCCTGTAAAAGCATGCTCGCTGCACGCTTGTCCAGTCTGCTCCACTTGGAGTCGCGCAGCTCCTTGGTCGCATAGTCCTCCGCCTTCAGCTGAACCTTTCTCACAGTAGAAGCCCCGACGTAGTCACCATAGAAAGCATCCAACGAAACCAAAACTTCCGACCACCATCTACTGCTTCCGTCAGTGATGTCCCCCATAGGGCCTGCCAGTCCATGCAACCAGTCACCAACGTTTATTGCAGCTTGATCATCTGGTTCAGGTAGTTTCGGAAGCTCAGAGCCACTAACTCCTGGTCTGATAACTTCTGTGCGGTTCGCTGCCATGCCCATCTGTAAAGCCATTACTGCTTGTAACTGCGACATTCCCTGCATGAGCGCCTCCAGGGGGTTCGCGGGGGAATCGTTCGTTTGCCCTCTGGGTAGTTCAGCGCCGCTTGACATATAGCTCCGGGGAGGTGAGCTGCTGGCTCTTCGGACACCAAGTGGATTCCAATGCTTATTATCACGAGGACCAGAATGTCGTACATCATCTACGGGACCAGAGACACCCGGTGCATGCATATTTTGAAACGACCCAGAGACACCCGGTGCATGCATATCATAAAAAAGACGACCCCCATGTTCGTGATCATGTCTCGAAAGTCCGGGTGGATTGCCTCCGGGTACAATATCATTAACTACTCGCCCATCTGTTCGCTGACCACTCCTCAGAATACCCACAGGCCGATCTCCAGAAGTGTTATCAACAAACCTCGCATCACCAACATCCGCAGCCCCTTGAAAAGCCTCACCGCTTCGTGGCCTTGCGTGCTGATGACCTGCAGCTAGTCGCCCCCTCAGTTCGTGATCATGTCTCGAAAGTCCAGGCGGATTGCCTTCGGGTACCCCACCTCGAACAACGCCCTCATCGCCTTGTTCTGAGTCACGTCCCGACTGTCCTGCTGGATTGCTTCCGGGTTCTGCCTCACCTGAAAGGTCACCTTGCTGCCCCCCATGTTCGTGATCATGTCTTGAAAGTCCGGGTGGATTGCCTTCGGGTAATAGTTGCGTTACGGATGCCATAGAGGGCCGAATCCTCGCCCCATCCCCCGAACCACCATTGCTATACTCCAGCATGCCTTGCCGTCGATCAGGCTCCACCGATGCTGCCGCCTGCCTGCTCAGGCGCTCCACCTGTTGACGAAGCCGCTGATTTTCCTCGGCAAGACCTTGCTGTTGTCGAAGAGCTTGCTCCACTTGCTTCTTGACTTCCGCTTCTAGCTGCTCCCTAGAGTAGGACCCAGAAGACTCCGATCCCGGTGTAGCCGTATGTGGTTGTCCATATAGCAATGGAGCCTGCGCCGACATATCCCTTAGCCTCCTGGATTGGCTCCGGTTGAACAAAGGTCCTTCATCCGAACCTCCAGCCCGTGCCCTTCCCGGTGACCAAACTGTTTCTTGAACCACTGTAGCTTCTAAGCCCGGCCTGCTCTGAGAAACCATTGTCGCATGCCTCTGTACAAACTCCCCAAGCCTCGAAAACCATCTCAACGCTGTAGCTCCAGCTTGCTGTCCCGTCCTTGTAGTAGTAGTCGATCCTTCAAGCTGTGCCGCTGTCGCCACAGGTGAATGAAACGGCGAGGGTCCTCCTGAATGTTGCAAGCTTGCAGGCATTGGCACACCCACTGCTGCATGAGGTAACAAAGGCAAATCTCTAGTAGCTTCTCCAGAGCTCGCTGTTCTTTCCGCCGTATCCGCACCACCATTGCCAGCTGTCTGCACCAATCCACTATCGCCCCCTATATCGGGCCCGTGTTCCGTAGACGTAATCGCGCCGACTCCGGTGTTCGCGCCCGATCCGGTTTCCAAGGCCTGTCTAAACGCGTGGTCTTCATCATCTGTAGCCTGGGAACTCCTTGTCGGTCGAGGGACACCGTTCGGTAACTGCTGTTGCTCGGCCGTTCTCTCATGCCCTTGCGCAGCCACGCCACTTGGGCTCATCACCTGTTGGTTAACTGCTTCCGAAAG